TCCATCCCAAATTCCTGGGTCCATCCCAAATTCCTGGGTCCTTCCCAAATTCCTGGGTCCTTCCCAAATTCCTGGGTCCATCCCAAATTCCTGGGTCCTTCCCAAATTCCTGGGTCCTTCCCAAATTCCTGGGTCCATCCCAAATCCTTCCCAAATTCCTGGGTCCATCCCAAATCCTTCCCGAGCCCCTGGGTCCTTCCCAAATTCCTGGGTCCTTCCCAAGCCCCTGGATCCTTCCCAAATTCTTCCCTCATTCCCTGGGTCCTTCCCGAGCCCCTGGGTCCTTCCCAAATTCCTGGGTCCATCCCAAATTCCTGGGTCCTTCCCGAGCCCCTGGGTCCTTCCCAAATTCCTGGGTCCGTCCCAAATTCCTGGGTCCATCCCAAATCCTTCCCAAATTCCTGGGTCCATCCCAAATCCTTCCCGAGCCCCTGGGTCCGTCCCAAATTCCTGGGTCCTTCCCAAGCCCCTGGATCCTTCCCAAATTCCTGGGTCCTTCCCAAATCCCTGATCCATCCCAGATCCTCCTGATTCCCTGGATCCATTCCCGGTCCTTCCCGAGCCCCTGGATCCATCCCAAATCCTCCTGATTCCCTGGATCCATCCCCGCCGTCCCTCCCCCCATTCCCACATTCCCACCCCTCCCCCTCCCTCTGCCATTCCCGCTCCCTGGCTTTTGGGAATGTCCCGTTTCTCCCTGAAAAACCCTGGGATCCCACTGAAATCCTGGGATCCAAACCCCTCATTCCCTCATTCCCACATTCCCAGCCCTCTCCCTCTCCCTCTCCCTCCTCCTCCTCCTCCCCTCTCCCATTCCCGGCTCCATTCCCAGTTCCTGATTTTGGGAATGCCCCATTTCCCGTCCCCATCCCACTGAAATCTGGGATCCCGCTGGGATCTGGGCTCCCTCCCTCTCTCCCTCCTCCCTCCCCCCGTTCCCAGCCCTCTCCCTCCTCCTCCTCCTCCTCCTCCCCTCCCTCTCCCATTCCCTGTGGAATTCCCAGCTCCTGCTTTTGGCCAGGACCGATCCCACTAAAGTCGGAGATCCTGCTGGGGCTCCCTCCTCCCTTCCCGCATTCCCGCATTCCCGCATTCCCTCTCCTCCTCCTCCCCTCCCTCTCCCATTCCAGGTCTCATTCCCGGCCCCATTCCCGCTCCCTGACTTTTGGGAATGCCTCGTTTCCCATTTCCCGCCCCCATCCCGCTGAAATCCTGGGATCCCTCTGAGATCTGGGATCCCACGCCCGCCCTGACCCATTCCCACATTCCTTCGTTCCCACATTCCCACATTCCAGTCCCTCTCCCTCCCTCCCCCTCTCCTTCCTCTCCCATTCCCGGTTCCATTCCCAGTTTTTGCCTTTCGGGAATGCCCCAATTCCCGCCTTTTGGGAATGCCCCAATTCCCATTCCAATCCCCCCAAACCCTGGAATCCCGCTGGAATCTGCCCTCCCTCCCCCCGTCCCTCCTCCCTCCCCACATTCCCACTCCTCCTCGTCCCCTCCCTCTGCCATTCCTGAGCTGGATTTTCCCTGGATTCCAGGAATCTGCTCTTCCTGGAAGGTGAGCGGCTGCGTGCGCCCGGCCAGCGCCGCCCTGCGCCCCGCCGGGATCCCGCGCTGCTTCCCGGGAATCCCGATCCAGGGATCCGCGGGCTTCCTCCCGCAAGGTACGACCCCAAAACCCCCTCCCCAAAATCCTCCCCCCCACCCCACGCCGAAGCAACTCCGGGAAAAAGGGATTTCAGGAATTCCCGGCTGGAATGAGGGAGGAGGGAAAAAGCGGGAGAGCTTTTTTGGCCACTCCCCGGGGTGGGATTTAGGGATTTAGGGATTTGGGAGGAGCCGGAGATTCCCGGAGCGCCTCCGGGATTTGGGGATTTGGGGCTGCTGGAATTGTCGGGCTCGGGAGTGGAGCGAGCTGGGAGCGGGATGAGGCTGCAGGAGATTCCTAAAGGTGGGAACCGGCGGGGTTTTTGGGATTTTTGGGATTTGGGATTTGATTCTGGATAAGGCAGAGTTAGGATTTAGGGATCCTGGAATTCCCTTTTTCCGTGGGAGTTGGATCTGGTCGGGGTGAGGCTCCAGGAAATTCCCAGGGGTTGGTTCTGATCCAGTCCCAGGGATTTGGTTTGGGATTTTTGGGATTTTTGGGATTTTTGGGGTTTGGGATTTGCCCCTGGATAGGCAGAGATGGGATTTAGGGATCCTGGAATTCCCTTTTTCCGTGGGAGTTGGATCTGGTCGGGGTGAGGCTCTGGGAAATTCCCAGGGGTTGGTTCTGATCCAGTCCCAGGGGTTTGGTTTGGGATTTTTGGGATTTTTGGGATTTTTGGGGTTTGGGATTTGATTCTGGATAATGCAGAGTTAGGATTTAGGGATCCTGGAATTCCCTTTTTCCATGGGAGTTGGATCTGGTCGGGGTGAGGCTGTGGGAAATTCCCAGGGGTTGGTTCTGATCCAGTCCCAGGGATTTGTTTTGGGATTTTGGGGATTTTTGGGATTTTTGGGGTTTGGGATTTGATTCTGGATAAGGCAGTTAGAATTTAGGGATCCTGGAATTCCCTTTTTCCATGGGAAAAAACCCTCGGGGTCAGATCTGATCTGGGAGGGATCGGGGTGAGGCTCGGGGGGATTCCTAAGGTTGGTGCCAGGAATTTTTTTGGGATTTTTGGGATTTGGGATTTGATTCTGAATAAGGCAGAGTTAGGATTTAGGGATCCTGGAATTCCCTTTTTCCATGGGAGTTGGATCTGGTCGGGGTGAGGCTGTGGGAAATTCCCAGGGGTTGGTTCTGATCCAGTCCCAGGGATTTGTTTTGGGATTTTGGGGATTTTTGGGATTTTTGGGGTTTGGGATTTGATTCTGGATAAGGCAGAGTTAGGATTTAGGGATCCTGGAATTCCCTTTTTCCGTGGGAGTTGGATCTGGTCGGGGTGAGGCTCCAGGAAATTCCCAGGGGTTGGTTCTGATCCAGTCCCAGGGATTTGGTTTGGGATTTTTGGGATTTTTGGGATTTTTGGGATTTTTGGGATTTTTGGGGTTTGGGATTTGCCTCTGGGATAGGCACAGATGGGATTTAGGGATCCTGGAATTTCCCTTTTCCAGGGAAAAAGCCCCTGGGGTCAGATCAGAGCCAGGTGGGGTCGGGGTGAGGCTCTGGGATCAGCCCAAGGATTTTTGGGATTTTTGGGATTTTTGGGATTTTTGGGATTTTTGGGGTTTGGGATTTGCCCCTGGATCAGCTCCAGAGGGAATTTAGGGATCCTGGAATTTCCTTTTCCAGGGAAAAAGCCCCTGGGGTCAGATCAGAGCCAGGTGGGGTCGGGGTGAGGCTCTGGGATCATCCCAAGGATTTTTTGGGATTTTTGGGATTTGCCCCTGGATCAGCTCCAGAGGGGAATTTGGGAATTTTGGGATTCTGGAATTCCCTGTTCCGGGATAGAGGAGTCAGATCCAGCTCCAGGGAGAAATTTGGGAATCCTGGAGGGGGAAACTTTGGGAATTCTGGAGGGGGATTTGAGGATCCTGAAGGGGAATTTAGGGATAATTCTGGGGGGAATTTGGGAATTCTGGGGGGGAATTTAGGGATATTGAGGGATAATTCTGGAGGGGGATTTGGGAATTGTGGAGGGGAATTTAGGGATAATTCTTGAGGGGAATTTAGGGATATTTAGGGATAATTCTGGAGAGGAATTTGGGGATAAATCTGGAGAGGGAATTTTGGAATTCTGGGGGGGAATTTAGGGATATTTAGGGATAATTCTGGGGGGGAATTTGGGAATTCTGGGGGGAATTTAGGGATATTTAGGGATAAATCTGGGGGGGAATTTGGGAATTCTGGGGGGGAATTTAGGGACATTTAGGGATAATTCTGGGGGGGGGAATTTAGGGATATTTGGGGATAATTCTGGAGGGGAGTTTAGGGATATTTGGGGATATTTGGGGATAATTCCGGGGGGGAATTTGGCAATCCTGAAATTCCCAAGCTGGGGAAAACCCCGACCCCTGAAAACAAAAAAGAATCCCAGTTTTCCCCCGGGTTCTCCCCTGGAATATCCGGAATTTCCAGGCCTGGCCCCCCCGGCTCCCCCGGGATCAACATTCCCAACATTCCCCAGGGGTGGGAACGGCTCCTCCCGGCCTTTCCCAGGCTTTTCCCGGGAATTTGGGAATTTTCCAACCCCCCCCCCACCCCGGGAGAGTTTGGGAATGTTTGGGAAACTCCCAGGGAGATTTTCCCGGGTGTTTTTCCCCGGCCAAAAATTCCAGCTGGGCCGGAAAAGTTTGGAAATCTCATTCCCAGCTGCTCCGGGGGGAATTTTCCATCCCAAAATTCCGGCTGTTCCCACGGCGGGGGTGGGGGGGGGAGGGGCCGG